GACTGAGGACAAAAACTGGGATAAAATCTTTATAAACGTGGAGAAAGATCAGATAAAACCAAAAACGTAACTAAAACTGGAATGAAACAGAAAATATTCAAACACAATTAAAATAAATAGAATAAACATCCTCCATAATGAGAACCAGAATAAAATCAGATATTGTGAGTGTTGGCCTAGTGGGTTAGAGCAGTGGGCTTGTGCTCTGAGAAGGTTGCAAGTACCTGGTTTGATCCCCACTGCCTCTGAGCAAGACCCTTAATCCCACACTGCTCCCCAGGTGCCACACATTGTGAATTTCTCCAATGTGAGATCAATAAAGTTCAATTATTATTACGAAGCTTGTGTCACTCCTGACGATAAACCAGTGAAGTCATCGGATCGTCTGAAAATGTCCTGCTTCTAGAAATGAAGCCCGAGGGCAGCTGGTTGGTCCTCCTGCAGCACTGATTGGCAGAGGTGTCAAGAAGTGTAAATCCGACTGTTTAGAAACAGTTTAGTAGAAGTTAAAGGAGCAACTTGAACCTTTTACTCAAGAACTAAATTTTTTAAAATTACTTGAATAAAGAAGTGAAAGTAATGCAGGGAAATTTTTAGGACGGATGTTTAAAACCTGATACAGGTCACTGCGCTCTTACTCAGGTTACTCTTATTACAGGAACATTTTCCATGTGAAAACTTCCTCATACTTAATTTTTTTTACAACTAATGGTAACAGTGTGAACTTTAACTTTACTGGATCTTGAAGAATGATTTTTATTTATTTTTTTTTGGTATGTGGCGAACAACCAGTTGTTGCAGCACAGCATCCAACCACAAAGAAATGAATCGTCTGGATAAGGCAAATTATTTTTGATGGTTTTTATATTTTTAAATACCAACTGACCATAACAAATATTTGCTTAAATTAAACAAAACGTATGAGTCTATTTTTAAAATTTAAGAAGTAGAAAATAGAGAAAATTGCTGAAAATGTAAGAAGAGGTAAACAGTTCTCTAAAAACTTACTCTTATAAATAATAGATGGTCAAAATTAATGAAATTAACTTTATAAATTATAATAAATCAATAAACAGATGTTCTCCATTTTTGGCTTTTAAAACGCTTAAATGTCTTAATTAAACCTGGATCTCCTGATTCAAAGTGTTCTGTTCACACATCATGGCCCCTCAGTACAGAACCAGAGTCCAAAGAGAAACAAAGTCTGTTGAGTTTTCTAGAGAAACGCTGATCCAGACCACCTGGAGCCATAGAACATCTGTCTGCTTAGAAGGAAACTAAATGTTGATGTTCAGACAAACAGTAACAGAAATATGGATCTTATTCTAACTTTCAGGCTCTGAGCTTCAGGAACCGCCCAGTTTGGGTTTTAATAATCAATCGGATCTTCATCAAAGTTCTGACTGAAAGGAGCAGCTGAAGCATGAAGTTCTGGTTTCTCTGCAACTGAGGATCTGTATCAGACTGATTAATTTCAGCCCAGAACCTGACCCGTTTCATCCCAGAACTTGTCCCATTTCATCCCAGAACCTGACCTGTTTCATCCCAGAACCTTAGCCGTTTCATCCCAGAACCTGACCCGTTTCATCCCAGAACCTTAGCCGTTTCATCCCAGAACCTGACCCGTTTCA